GATTTTTTAATGAAGAAAAAAAAAATCATTCATTTCCACAAAATTAAGCGTAGAAGAAATTGTTGATTCAATCCAATTCGTCAAGGTCATCAAAAACCAATCAATTGGATTGGATTGGATTGGATTTTAACACCCCTAATATTTATCCCTACCTTCTTTGGGAATTTAGGAAAAATTAAGTGAAGATCTTATCATCAACCAAACAGAAAAAAACTGTTTGAAAACCCAGAACATCTCACAAATGGCCACATTTTTCGTCTAATTCTTTCTAAAAATAAAAAATAAAGTAGAAGCCAAATGTATAATGCATAAGTTATGAAGCATAAAATCTTCATAAAACTAGTTTTTGTATTGGCAACTCTAACTGGAAAATGTGGCACTTCTCATTGCATTTTTCTACTTTTGTTCTAAAAGGAATATGTCATCGTTAACAAAACAATCCTCACTAAATTAGGTGTTGCAAATAAACAATTCATTGTACACTAACGAAATTTCACCTATCCATCAAAAATTTTTGCCTAGTTCAACCTTTCTCATCATTCTAATAGTGTTGTGCAGAATTGAATCCACTATTCCTGCTACCTGGAACCCAAAGGCCAAAATAAATTAGTACGCAATCTGGAGAGAAGTAAAGAACCAAAGATAGAAGATACTAACCGTGAAAACACCTCCAATTATAGCGCACACGTTCGTGATAAAATGTGAGAAGGATTTCCGATTTTCTGTTATTAACACCTGGGTATAGAAGACAGACAAAGAAAAAGAGATGAGAAGCAAAGAGAGTAAAACTAGTACACAAATACTAAACTGTTTGTTATTAAACCTGCATGGGAGAGAGCTCGAAATGGAATTTTGCAACCGGTACTTGAAGACTTTGCACCAAGCTACTGTGGGCTGTGTACTCATATTCCTCAATTAATTTATGATTTCTTCCTGTTATAACTTCGCTTTTAACTATTTGAAGGTAATGCTCTATCTGCAAATGCAATTACCAGAAATATACTTAAGAAGAGTGTAAACATTAGCAATTCTTCACAAGCCAAATAAACGTCATTAATGATCTATTCAGCTGTAACTTGGAAGTCAATAAACAGGGGTTCCAGGAATATTGTGAGCAGATGCAATAATCAATAAAGTTGAAAGAAACTTACCATAAAAGAAGAGGAAACAACACTCTTTTAGTACTCAAAGAAAATTACCATAAAAAACAATCAAAATTATTTTAGTATTCCAACTCCATCCAGAAGGAAATGTTTGTTGGCTGTAAAGCATCTCTAGGGAGGTAGAATATCAATACAATAAAATGGACAGTTTTAAATGTTATTGGTGAATTTATAAGCCAACATTATAAAATAGGATCACTCAGAAAGAGTAAACACATTTAAAAGCTCAAAAGAGCAGGGACAGATGCATGGACCGTTCAAAAAGTATTTGAACCACAGAGAAATTCTAGAATGAAACATAATATATTGTGTGTGTCACCCATATCAATGTACCAATATCCATACACCTAAAAATCATGGACATGCAGCTATATGTTGCTGATTTCACTTAAACATTGAGATGCTGATGGACAAACACAGAACAATAGAGAAGCAAACACAATGCCAAGATGTGTAGAGTGACAAACTTACTGTAACATTAGCACCTAGATCACGATGATTTATGAAAGACCGACCATTCAACCTGTCATGGCTTCCACCAAGATAAGGTACCAATCGCTTGACATCACTCATCACCTTAGGAGTAATCATCCTACCGAATGAAAAATGTGATATGACGTGTGACATGTTCATTTGAGAAGCATCGAAGGAATGGGCTCCTGAATGAGCGGAAATGACAAGGTTTCCTGGAACCTGCACAGTAGAGGACAAATCATACCTAAATTCCTACTGAATGATAGTAGCTAAGAGTTTCATTGTTGGCTCAATTGACAGGAGAATTGTGATAATGACATAATGCATTTTACTGGTACCATATTCTCTCTTTTGTTTACATGCATTATTTAGAACTTGAAATTCATTATTTTAGTGTACATATATAACACCACTGTTACGATAACATGACCAAATATATAAATTATAATTAGTGTAATTAAGAGTAATTTTCATCTTGTTTGACAGTTTAGTATATCATATTGCTAAGCAGCCTGATTAATTCGATGAAATCATGTCAGTCTGTCAACCATGTTAAATATCTAGTAAGAGATCATTTTAAGATACTTGCCAAAGCATGGGGGCTTATAGCCCCAGTGGTAGTGAGCATTTATCCCTCATCGAAGGCCAAACCTCGACTCCCCCTCTTCCCTTTTAGTTTTCCTTGTAAACCAAGAAAAAAACCTAACTGATTTACTTGAAACTACTTCAACTGCAGTTTTCAACTACTCTCCTGGCCAAGACTCAGTGCTTAGAGTAAACCAGGACGACTATACAAATTGCAACACCGATGCCCCTACTGCGAAATATACTGATGGCCACACTGCCATCACGTTCGACCAATCTGGGCCATTTTATTTCATCAGTGGCAACAAAGACAACTGTCTCAAAAATGAGAAGGTGGTAGTGATTGTGTTGGCAGATAGAAATAGAAATGCAACTGCCCCTTCGCCTTCAAACTCAACTGATATAACCCCATCTCCAGCTCCTGCCGGTGAAGCGTCTCCACCTTCACCAGATACAGGGGTGGTCGAGAACCCTACTCTAGCTCCCGAAAGCCCTCCTCCACCTCCCAGCGGGGCTTCTCCAGTTTTCATGAGTTTGTTGGGGTCCATTGGAGCTTTTGCTGCATCCTCATCACTTTTACTACTCTAACTGGATATTGGATTGTTTGAGTATAAAGTTCGTTTCTCCTTTGCGAGTTTCCTTCCTCTTTTTTTTTTTATTCTTTTCTGATTTATTGTTTTTATTTTCTTTAAGCTCAGTATATATCTTTGGACTGGTGTTTGATATTCGTTTGTTGCAACTGGAAAATAAGGAGGGAGTAAATAATACTCATTAGTGTGCTTGTGAGACTCCACCATAAGGGCCAATAATGTAATTACACAAAGAAATAAATTGTTTTTCATACTGTCAGTGTATTCAATATTTATATGTTTCTGTTTCCATCTTTCATTTAGTTTTGGAAGCAGATGCATCTGCAAATTTTAGTTATGTTTATAAATTAAGCAGGCTCACAATCGAGGAAGCAACACGGTACCCAATCTGAAGTTAGAATTGGATAGGATGGATAATTGATTTTTTAATGAAGAAAAAAAAAATCATTCATTTCCACAAAATTAAGCGTAGAAGAAATTGTTGATTCAATCCAATTCGTCAAGGTCATCAAAAACCAATCAATTGGATTGGATTGGATTGGATTTTAACACCCCTAATATTTATCCCTACCTTCTTTGGGAATTTAGGAAAAATTAAGTGAAGATCTTATCATCAACCAAACAGAAAAAAACTGTTTGAAAACCCAGAACATCTCACAAATGGTCACATTTTTCGTCTAATTCTTTCTAAAAATAAAAAATAAAGTAGAAGCCAAATGTATAATGCATAAGTTATGAAGCATAAAATCTTCATAAAACTAGTTTTTGTATTGGCAACTCTAACTGGAAAATGTGGCACTTCTCATTGCATTTTTCTACTTTTGTTCTAAAAGGAATATGTCATCGTTAACAAAACAATCCTCACTAAATTAGGTGTTGCAAATAAACAATTCATTGTACACTAACGAAATTTCACCTATCCATCAAAAATTTTTGCCTAGTTCAACCTTTCTCATCATTCTAATAGTGTTGTGCAGAATTGAATCCACTATTCCTGCTACCTGGAACCCAAAGGCCAAAATAAATTAGTACGCAATCTGGAGAGAAGTAAAGAACCAAAGATAGAAGATACTAACCGTGAAAACACCTCCAATTATAGCGCACATGTTCGTGATAAAATGTGAGAAGGATTTCCGATTTTCTGTTATTAACACCTGGGTATAGAAGACACACAAAGAAAAAGAGATGAGAAGCAAAGAGAGTAAAACTAGTACACAAATACTAAACTGTTTGTTATTAAACCTGCATGGGAGAGAGCTCGAAATGGAATTTTGCAACCGGTACTTGAAGACTTTGCACCAAGCTACTGTGGGCTGTGTACTCATATTCCTCAATTAATTTATGATTTCTTCCTGTTATAACTTCGCTTTTAACTATTTGAAGGTAATGCTCTATCTGCAAATGCAATTACCAGAAATATACTTAAGAAGAGTGTAAACATTAGCAATTCTTCACAAGCCAAATAAACGTCATTAATGATCTATTCAGCTGTAACTTGGAAGTCAATAAACAGGGGTTCCAGGAATATTGTGAGCAGATGCAATAATCAATAAAGTTGAAAGAAACTTACCATAAAAGAAGAGGAAACAACACTCTTTTAGTACTCAAAGAAAATTACCATAAAAAACAATCAAAATTATTTTAGTATTCCAACTCCATCCAGAAGGAAATGTTTGTTGGCTGTAAAGCATCTCTAGGGAGGTAGAATATCAATACAATAAAATGGACAGTTTTAAATGTTATTGGTGAATTTATAAGCCAACATTATAAAATAGGATCACTCAGAAAGAGTAAACACATTTAAAAGCTCAAAAGAGCAGGGACAGATGCATGGACCGTTCAAAAAGTATTTGAACCACAGAGAAATTCTAGAATGAAACATAATATATTGTGTGTGCCACCCATCTCAATGCACCAATATCCATACACCTAAAAATCATGGACATGCAGCTATATGTTGCTGATTTCACTTAAACATTGAGATGCTGATGGACAAACACAGAACAATAGAGAAGCAAACACAATGCCAAGATGTGTAGAGTGACAAACTTACTGTAACATTAGCACCTAGATCACGATGATTTATGAAAGACCGACCATTCAACCTGTCATGGCTTCCACCAAGATAAGGTACCAATCGCTTGACATCACTCATCACCTTAGGAGTAATCATCCTACCGAATGAAAAATGTGATATGACGTGTGACATGTTCATTTGAGAAGCATCGAAGGAATGGGCTCCTGAATGAGCAGAAATGACAAGGTTTCCTGGAACCTGCACAGTAGAGGACAAATCATACCTAAATTCCTACTGAATGATAGTAGCTAAGAGTTTCATTGTTGGCTCAATTGACAGGAGAATTGTGATAATGACATAATGCATTTTACTGGTACCATATTCTCTCTTTTGTTTATTCATGTTAACCATCAAGTACAAGAACTTGCTTAAGGACCTTTTTTTCTCTCTCTTTTGGTAGGACTCATAAGGGTACCAACTAAACAACTGTAGCTTAGTTCCTAACACGGCTAAATTTTATTCATGAAGAACCCAAGGCCAGCTGTGGCTGTCATGACTGCACATGTGGCTCTCAAGTAGGGCAACTCATATGTGCACCGCTCTGGTAACCAAAATTTGTGCAGTCACAACAACTGCCCCCCTTCGCATTTTTCTCTTTATTCATACCAATTCTACGCTTGTGAAGCGCCTCAAGGCATGCTTTGGAAAAAGAAAGAAGGATAAGAGTAGTTGAAACTACCCTTTCATTTCTCCTTTTTCATCGCATTTCCAAGCATGTGAGATGGTTTGGGAGCAGAGAAAGAGATCAAGGAGTTCTGTGGGAATAACAAATTTCATACGTGCTAACATGCCCAATGCTTCTATTAATTTCAATCAATGGAAGATCACCTTCTTCACACGCACATAGCCTTCAATTCTACACCCTCCTGTCAGTGGTGCTGGTCTTTTTGCATTGTCAGTCCCATTGTCAGATTTACCCTCCAAAGCAAGTTTTTGAGCCTCAACAGGGATAGGTGCCACCAAAGTCTCCATTGTCTGCAAGGATGAGAACTTCATATCAGATGGGTTTGCAATCTCAATTGGGGTATTGAACAAAAATTCCATCAACAAGTATTAATAAGTTCAAAGTCAAAGTTAAACAGAGGAAACTGTAAGGCTAATTGAAACTTATGAATGCTTGTACCTTAACCAGACTATCTGTATCTCGATCTCCATAATAAGATTCATGATCATGGTGTCCATGGTCATCCCTGTGACAGAATTCCAGATTAACAAAGGTATAGTCATATGAACAAGACAGGCATGGTCGTGGGGGCAAAAATTTTGACATCTGAATTTGAGAAACAAAGGTATCAAACAAATTACTCAGGGTCTATATACAAGGAAAAAATAAAATAAAAAGGAAACTGAAACAGGGGAGGGGGCGGAGGGAGCGAAGGAGTGAGGGAGAGAGAAATAGACACAGAGAGAGAGAATTGACCTTTATATACTGCTATCATCTTATAAAGCTCATGGAATGAGCAAACTATGCACATAGCTTCACATCACAACCAAGGCATCAGAAATGTCTTGATAAGACCTTATTGGCTCTAAGGTTGCATTTACATAGATGACTTGGAAATTAAGGATTTGGATTTACATTATACATGTAATTCACTATTTACGATAACGTGGATTTCAAATAATCAAGAAAATGTTATTGCGAGTTAACTCACTAATTCGCTTAAAAACATAATTTTAATTTCCATATATCAAAACTCTACATTTTCCATTCTTTTGACATTTGATTTGACACAAACAATTTAAGTCAAAAGTTAAATTCCAAACTCGCATTTAAATCCGTATATTGAAATGAAACCTAACATACAAGGAAAAAATAAAATAAAAAGGAAACTGAAACAGGGGAGGGGGCGGAGGGAGCGAAGGAGTGAGGGAGAGAGAAATAGACACAGAGAGAGAGAATTGACCTTTATATACTGCTATCATCTTATAAAGCTCATGGAATGAGCAAACTATGCACATAGCTTCACATCACAACCAAGGCATCAGAAATGTCTTGATAAGACCTTATTGGCTCTAAGGTTGCATTTACATAGATGACTTGGAAATTAAGGATTTGGATTTACATTATACATGTAATTCACTATTTACGATAACGTGGATTTCAAATAATCAAGAAAATGTTATTGCGAGTTAACTCACTAATTCACTTAAAAACATAATTTTAATTTCCATATATCAAAACTCTACATTTTCCATTCTTTTGACGTTTGATTTGACACAAACAATTTAAGTCAAAAGTTAAATTCCAAACTCGCATTTAAATCCGTATATTGAAATGAAACCTAAGAGCACATAGAAAGATTCCAAAACTCGGGTGATGTTTAATAAATGCACATACAAGTTATATGAAGATCCAAAGGAAAAAAGTTTTAAATAATTAAATGCAGCCTAGAATAACTAAAACTCCAAGAACAGAAGGAGGAAATAAATGACAACTTGAATATAAATAAATGAATAGACATCAGTTCAAAATAATCTAAAAGTCGGCAAAATTTTGTAGTATTTACCTCACATCACTTCCTTTACGAAAGATACGAATTGATGGATATCCTTGAATGTGATTCCTGATCGTTATAGGGGAAACAAAGTTAATAATATAAAAAATAGGAAGCCAGTGGTACATTAAGCAAACTTGAGAGGTAAGTAAAGAAGAGTACAATAATGTTGTATTTGGGGTAACGTAAGGCAATGACTATTTGAATATGAAAAAAGTTCAAATGGTGGTTCAATTCCAGGATGCTATGACTGATGGCTTAACTGTAGCAATCATACAAAATTAGCATGGGAAAATAAATAGGACAGAGACAGACTAAAACATGAGCACATCCATGTTCCCACCCTGAGGTTAACAGTTCTCTGTTCAAGCAGAAAGAGAGTCAAAACATACTCATGTGTAAGCATGAAGCTTATTGATGAGAACGCTAAACTCAAGATAAAATCTAAAGCTCCAATTGGCATTTCAGAAGACTATGCCCTAGTGCTGTTATTTGAAAACCACCCCAGTTAAGGCAAGGCAGCTTAGAGTACTTTTTGCAAAACCTTCTTCAAAGGTAAGTAGGTTTCTCTTTCATGTTGAGTTTGGACCGCCCTTTCAAGCCAGATAAAAACCCCCCTGATCATTTCAAGTTAAACTTACTGTTTTAAAATTTTATTAATGGTAAATAAAATCTGATATTTACAAAATTATTATTGCAATGCAATAAGTTCCTGCGCTAATTAGTATTCCTTGGAGTTGTCTTTCAGTTTTATTCTCCACTGTAAGTGTTATTAAATATCGCAATTTATAAATCCTTTGTTTCATTGAGGAGAACAAGAAATATTAATTAAACTTTGAGATTTTCTTTATACAACTAATAAGAACTGAAAGTGCATATGTTTGCGGTGTACAATATAAAATCTATTGCAAATCCATAGAAATTAGAAAATCAAGTAGAAAGTAGGAATAACCAATCTAAAATATACCTCTTACACAAGTCACCTTCTTCAGTACAATCTACTTTCGCCAAAAGAATACGCCCATCTATTTCTGGATCATATCTGTTAAACATGGAGGCAAAAGAGAGGGGAGAGAGAGAGAGAGAGGAGTTGTGGACTTCAAATTCTGGACATTGTGTGGCAAAATAAAAAATATTACAGTACCACTTGAAAAATCATAAAATCTGGAAGAAAACAGTATAACTTTCAGAATGAAGCACCTTTCTCTTATTATTTTGGCGGCCTTCTCCCATGAAGGTTTCTGAAAAAGAAAAAAAAGAAGAGAGAAAATGAAGCAGGAACATAATACAAGAAAAAGAAACAAACACAGCAAGAAGATACAGCTTTTGGATGATTTTGACTAAATAGTTCAATTCAATCAACCAAACTTTTAATGCGCACAAGTATCGTTCGACATTTCCATTGAAAATGAAGAAAGGGCACCATGAACCAACTCAAGGATCTTGTGGCTTCTCATATGCGCACGAGTACACACATGATCAAAGGTATAAATGGGGGCAAAACAAGTTTCCAAGATTCAAGACAATGTATGTAATAAGTCAGACGAAACAGTACACATATTACAACCTTTAAGATTTTATCTGTTTTTTTCTTTTGTGGAAAAACTTAAAAGATTTAAATAAGTTGAAGAAATCCTCAGAATGAAAACTGCGACATAATAAGTTTTCCCATCCTAACCTTTGATTTCTGGCTACAAGATGAGATTCTAAATTCTGTGCCATCATGCCATAACCATAAAATATACATACGCAAGTATATAACAAGATTGTATAAAATGATTAATTAACATAGCTAATTTCATCAAAGAAATTTGAGCAATTTGTGAAGCTAATTAATTTACCAGGCGATTGCTCCAGTAGCACCAAGGAGCATAAAAATTAACAACCAAAATTGGATGCCTGCAATAGAATTGTTTAATGCAAAATCAGGAATGGTATTATTTTGCAACATAAAGTCAGAAGTCACCCACATCAGTGGCTTTAAATATGAAAGGTATGGAATTAAAAGTTGGCCTACTTACTGGTGAGTAAACTTTTCAAAAGTTCGAGCGGTTAGTGAAACAGAGCCATCACCAGCATATTCATCACCATCCCCATGCTTAATGTCATGTAAAGCGGGTCCTGAGTGGAACTCAGAGCCGGTGGGTTTTAAATCTGGACCTATAGAGAACTTGCGAATTGTTTTCGTTATATTCAATCTGTTCTGAAAATAAGAGGGCACAAATTCAGGCCAGATGGGTGCCACATCAAGAATATAAAAAATGACTAACAAAGGATCTTTAACAGTAGGGAGCAAAAATCAACAACAGAATAGATAATATAGACAAAACAAAATGAGAGAGAAACTTACTGTTCCCAACACATCACTCACGTCAACGGATGCAAATTCACATGAGAGTGCAGGAAAACTACATGAAAATTGAGATAAAGTTAGTTTTTTAAAATAAATAAAAAATAAGAAAATATGAGAGAGAGAGAGAGAGAGAGAGAGAGAGAGAGAGAGAGGCAAGAGGGAGAGGGAGAGGGAGAGGGAGGGGGTGGGAAGGGAGTTTATATTAGTTGATACTTCAAAAGTGAAAGACTAAGAGTTTCCCTGAGTAACAGAGGGGGTACCCTGATAACCTAATGCTTCGACAATCTAATTGGCTCCTTTCAGCCGAGTAAAGCATTGCCTACAAATTCCCAAGTAATGCACCTAGGAATCATTTGAACCTAAGTAAAGCATGCACATGGAACTCAGGCATCACTTTGTCCACGCTTGATAAGTCCTACAACTCTCAACCATGATATTGATGCCAGTCTTAATATATAATACTACTAAGTATTCATCACATGTGGTTCGGCAGTATCACGTCAAACTAGCATTCAAAAGTTCTGACCATATGTGTCATATATAGGATCTGATTGTGTACCACTGCTGCCTGAAGATAGTGTCGACTCCATATACGAACATAGTAAGCCTAAACATGACTCAATAACTTCATAAACATTGAAAAACATCAATCCAAGCTATGAAACTTTACCTTATATTAAATCCAATACGTAAGAAGTCCCCATCAGAACTCTTGTCAACAATAACAGATGTAGAGGTGCTGAAGGCTAAATAACTATTCAGTTCCTGCAAAATGATCATCGTAAGTACCATCAGATGTAAAGAAATGTCACTATTACTAAATTTAGTAATAAAGTGCCAAAACAGATTACTGAAAAAGGAAAAACGAAAAACAAAAAGATGATGGTAAATATAGACATGATGAGGTACATTAACCACAAGAATATCTTAATGAAAAAAATTATAGAGAAGAAAGAAAACTAATGGAAATTCCAAAGAAAATTTAGAAATAAAAAAAGGTTACACATCCATACAGGACCAAAACAAGCATTAATTGAGAAAAAGGATCATCACTCATTCTCTAAACAGTCAAAGTTTAATACTTTGAATAAGTAACCAACTAAAGATATAGGAGCTGCATTACCATTCCAAATAAAAACATCATGGCAAGAGCTGCTATTATAGATAATCCTGCACCCGATAATGATGCTTCAGTCAAATCTCTTGGAATTTTCCTGGACATAGGAAAACATTTGTAGCATAAATTAATATATACATATATATAAGTATCAGAACAACCACCATAAGTAAAATATTGCACACTAAATTTCCCCACAGGTCTATTTTTCTTTCTCCTGCTATTCACAAGAAACTTTTGAGAAGAGATGCAAAGCGATCTCCATCTGTATTACCTATAAACTTTATGTATGTAAAATTAGTTTCTTTAATGCATTAAGAAAATATATACAATTCTAAGCCCATGTAATTTGAAGTTTTTATTTCAATGCACTATGACTCTGAAAGTGGATTCGCTTGCCGATACTTGTTTTGTATCTTTATTTATTTTCTTTTCCCTGGGATTTCTGCCTGCTTTTGCATCCTGTTTCTCTGACTTTTCTCCCCAAAACAATAAGAAGAAAATAATAAAGAGACACAACCAGAAGCTAAAACCAATCAATCTTCTAGTGTGAATGCTTCAACTAAGCACCTCCAAATAATCTGGTAATGCTTCCTTACTCTTAGGTAGTGTTGTTGAAATGAACTTTGAAATGGCATGGGCAAATCTATGGAGTGGTTAATTCATTGTTTAGTTGACCAACCCATAAATAAATAAAACAAACCAACAAAATAAAAAAAAGCAAAATAAAATAGGAATTCCATATCAATGCCCATTCCAGAAAATGTAATTGGCAATTATATTCCTCACCAGTTTTGCATCCCTTTCCAATGTTCATCCTAGCAATCAAACACTACAAATTCTTCCAAAAACAACCTAAAACTAACACAACTTACTCGTTCCTACATCAGCCAATCAAGATTATCAACCAAAAGTTATTCTATGCCACCAAACTACTCAAAAGCATCAATCTTTTCAAACTTTTCTACACGATTATTACATTAATCATCAATTCTGATTATAACCCAACAATTACTTCAATTCCATTCGTGCATCTAAGCCATTCATTCTCTAACCCATCATAATTCATAACCCAAATGCACCAACGCAATCACACAATGAACTTGAGCTTTCCATGATCAGATTCAGATTTACACACACAACAGAGCTAATGCACAGTGAAGGGAAGTAAAGGAAATGCGAGAGATCTGACCTGTAGAAATCGACGGACTTGATCTTGCCGGTGGAAATCATGGTGGAGATGAAGGGTGTGGATTTCAGAGCAACAGAGAGCTCTAATCCCAGTTCCCGAGCAATCAAGATGAATGAAATGGGAGAGAGAGCTGCCTTGCCTTCGCCTCTCGCCTCTCGCCTCTCGCCTTAGCTTCTTTCTCTTTCTGCTCTGCCTTCACGTGTTTTTCTATTGATCCTGTGTGCGACGGTGCAGCTTACTTAGTACGGAAAGAAACTATCACTCTCGTACATGGGGCCAGAGTGTAAGTGCGGACCCACCTTTTTTTTATTTATTGATCCTGTGTGCGACGGTGCAGCTTACTTAGTACGGAAAGAAACTATCACTCTCGTTCATGGGGCCAGAGTGTAAGTGCGGACCCACCTTTTGTTTTTTTTATTGATCCTGTGTGCGACGGTGCAGCTTACTTAGTACGGAACGAAACGATCACTCTCGTACATGGGGCCAGATCCAGTGCAAGTGTGGACCCACAATATCTCAATTCTGTAAATTGAATGAGAATAAAGGCTTTCCTTTTTTCGTCCAAAATAAAAATAAAAATAAAAAAGGCTTTCCTTTTTTTTTTTATTCTTTTTTTTTTCTTGCGCTAATTTAGGTAACACGCAATTAGTAGTTGACTTTTCTTATTTTGTAATGTTATTTTTATAGAGATTTTCTATTTAAACCCGGTACTTCTTTTTGTTCACCCCAATACTTAAATCATTAAGTTGTTCGTAATTTGTTTCACAGGAAGAAAACCAGTCAAAGCCTTGCCTTATCGCATATAGATTTCGATAGGTAAAGACACAGCCACATATATTCTTCAAATTTCATTCCTTTTTTCCACCTCCACTTTATTATCCCCTACCTTCCCCAACCACAACCTCCTTCCAACTTCCTGTTTACAAGTTCTTGGAGAAAGGTAAAGTTGTTCTCTTTCTCTAGAAAGTATTAAATTTTGAGTTTGGGGTTCCATTTGTCTGTGTTTTTTTTTACTGGGAACAAAGAAAATTGTGGGGTTTAAATAGAAAATCTCTTTTATTTCTTTTATTTTTTTTATTTTTTTCCAGTTGGGGTGTATTTAATGGTAGTTTGGGAAGATAGTGGGGTTTTCTTAGAAATTGTGAAATTTTAAATTAAAAGATTGGGTGAACTAAGAGAAGTGTGGAGTTTAAATAGAAAATCTCTTTTTATATGGATTTTTTCTAAATCATAAGGGATTATTGAACTCTTATACCTATACTAATTTTATTTCAATAATACTATTTGTATAACATTTATTGACCACTTTGTTGATCACCTCTCTTTCTAGAAATGGATCACACTAATGTATGTGGGATCACTTGTATTAGAGAAGTGGTCATTAGTCAGCAATGTGATCAACATATGTGATACAAATTAACAAAATTCATTTTATTTTCACTTTCGCTCACTTGGGCGCCAACAAAATTATATTTATTTAAGTTTTTATAAGCAACAACCTTAAATTTTGAGACTTTCATCAAAATGGTATTTCTTTTTTTAGTTTAATTATAATCTTCATCCTTTCGGCCGTGTGCATAAACTTGATTAGAATAAAGCGCAAAACCCATAATTTCAGAAGATGTGCACATAATATTCATTAGAATCAAGAACCACTAGTGTACGCATTGAAAATGGAGTTTTTATTTATTTATCAAAAATAGCCAAAATTTACCCATCACTTTCATAAATGTCAATTTTTATAAAAACTTTCAAAAAATAGCAAAAAAACTCACTTAAATAGACTTAAATGCCCTCAAAATTAAAATACACATAAATAAATAAAAGCAAGTCAGTGAAGAAAATAGGAGAGTGATATCTTGCAGGCACTGTGATGCATCCATCAGCCAACTCAATAACTTGTTTCGACTTTCCTTGTAATGTGCAATTATATGCACAATTTTCAATTCACTCTATTTCAAGGTTTGGAAACAAAAAATCAATAACCCAATTTTGGTTTGAATAGTTCTTGTATGATTTGAACAACTAATTTTAATATCGACTTTCATAATCTTGGACATGATAATAAAATGGGTTATTTTATTGATCGAAAAGGACCCTCAATTTTTGCCCTAATTTCATTTTGGTCCACCAACTAAAATTTTAATTTCAATAATCCTCCAACTCTCTATTTAGTATTAAAATGGTCCTATCGTCAAAGTCTGTCAATTTTGCCATTAAATTTAAAGGTAAAATCGTCCACATGTTAGAAGCTCCCCCAAATTAGAACCCTAGCTCCAAGAGTTTCAAACATAATACTTAAAAAACTAGGAATTATAATATGGTAAAAAAAGAAGTTAAGGTGGCAAGCTGAAAAAAAATATATATAATAATGATCACGTGACTTGCATGTGACTCTTTTCACGAAAAATCCTATCCGTTTTAACGGAATTTCGGAAAAGAAAAAACTTCGATGTTCAGAAACAAAAGAAGCTGTTTTAAATTATTTTATTTTATTTTCGTTTTTAAAATTTTCTTGCTTTTTTGTTTCACCCTGGGCATTTTCATTTTGTAAACTCAAGCTCACGAATCGCTCTGATTTGATTTCATTGCCCCGCCCGCGGTAAACAGTAGAATAGAAAGTTTCAAAACTCAGGTAGTTGTATTCAACCTCCTTCATCGTCAGCATCATCCTCATCATCATCATCCCCAAAGCTAGAGAGAGTGAGAGAGATGGCAAGTGTAGCTGCGCTAAGAGCCTTGAGGAAACGAATCAGTCCTTCCTTCGCGTCACGAATTATCGCTTTCACCTCCGATTCTCGATCCGTAAGTTCACTTTCATTCATTCACCACAAATATTCAAAATTCACTTCAAAATATTTTCAATTAGATATGGCAGTTCAACTATTCAATCTAGTTAATAATTATTTTTTTAATTGTATATAATTTTTCAAATGATTGAATAGATTAGCACACTGGTGTTAGCTGAACACGAAGGTGGTGCTATCAAGCCCCAATCAGTGAGCGCAGTGAAGGCTGCAAAATCTTTAAGCAACGACAATCCTATTTCATTGCTATTGGCAGGCTCCGGCTCTGCCCTTCACGAAGCCGCAGCAAATGCCGCTTCATGTGACCTTTCAGTTTCTGAGGTATCTCAAATGGCGTCGACCGGTTCTTTTTAATCTATGATAAAGTCTTGTGCTTGATGTTGTTTTGGTTGTGTTTTTGCTTATTTCCAAATGGGTTACTGACCCCAATTGATTGAATGGTTTTTTTTTTGTTGGTAAATATTAAATGGGATTTTGAAAATTGTGGAGTGTTATGGTATGTGATCAATTACTGTTGTGTAGGTTCTTGTCGCTGATTCTGATGAATTTAGTCATCCTCTAGCAGAGCCTTGGGCTAAACTGATCCATTTGGTTCAGCAGAAGGGCGGGTACTCACATGTAATCACTGCTTCAGGTTCGTTTGGCAAGAACATACTGCCAAGGGCAGCTGCCCTTTTAGATGTTTCTCCGATCACGGATGTGATTGAAATTTCAGACCCTCATCTATTTGTCAGGTAACTTTGGTTATATGGCTGTTGTTGTGATCATTTCTCCTCTTATGTAAACTGTTGTTTGAAATTTGTTTTTCTTTTGCACGTAATGACTTCAGTGAAAAGAAACAGTACACCTCAATGAAATAGCAATTCACTGAAAATACAACCAATCAAAGCCACTACGGCCGCATTAGCAAAACCATATTATAATTCACCGGACAAGAAAAGCTCTTCAAATCTAAACAGTTTATAGTCAACATTTACATGCGTCCTTACTGTACTAAAAACTCAAGTGCTTTTAATTCTATATTTTTCTGATGTTTTGGCACAAGAGGTTTTTGTCGACCCAATTCCCGATAGGTAAAAACTCAGGGATTTCCCTGCCCAAGTTTCAACTTATCCAAATCAGATGCAAGCCATTTGGCTTGCATCTAGCTCTGGTGTCTTGTTTTACTTTTGGCAAGGTTCTAGACGGGTTTGTTCCATGTTCCTGCATAAGCATCTCTTGGTTGACATGTATCTGTGTTAAATGTCGATTTCATCTGGCTAGAAGTAAGATGATATTTTCATATGGCAGGCCAATATATGCTGGTAATGCACTTTGTACTGTTCGATACACCGGTGCTGGACCTTGCTTGTTGACAGTTAGATCAACGTCCTTTCCAGTGTCCTCCATCTTAGCCGATTCAAAATCAAATGATGCTCCTATCACCCAGGTTGATCTCTCCACCTTTGGTGAAGGTCTGTTTGTCATTTTCTAATCCATAAACTATTTAGTGGCCAAATATACCTTTAAAATTTAATTTATTTAACTAGAATTGTATGTGACTGCTTCTTTGTCCATCTTTGGATTCATTTTTGTGGTAATGCTTCAAAATCAACAGTGTCTTGGGCGATTTTTGTCCATCAAATGGATCTGGCTGATCAATTTGCTAAATTGCTACCTAATTGGCAATTAAAACATAGGCCATCTGTTAACATGGTTTAATATCTCATTTGCAGATTCTGTTGGTAAATCTCGATATGTAAAGCACACATCACAGGATACAGAACGCCCTGATCTTGGGAATGCTCGTGTTGTGGTTACTGGGGGCCGTGCATTGAAAAGTGCTGAAAACTTCAAAATGATAGAAAAACTTGCTGAGAAACTTGGTGCAGCTGGTAATTCCTTGTAAATATTTTTTTTCGTTAGAACTCCAATTTTTTTTTTCCAGCATCTGTATTCTTGTGCTTGTGTTTGTTAGTGCTGTTGGTAATTCCATTGTAATATTTTTCGTGCTTATAACTCCATTCTTTTCTTTCCAGCATCTGTATTATTTTTGGTATTGTTTCTTTGTGTGTGTCTTATTGTTGTTTGCCTCTGCGTGTGTGACTTGTCCCATGACTGTCGTGTGTGCTGATGACCTGTCATGCATCATGCTAATGACTTTCCATGCTTCTCATAACTTTAATATGATATGTAGTTGAGTTGTCATAAATATTATGTTCAGAATTAAAAGAATTTGAACCTTCCATACTTGAACTTACAGGCATATGCTGTTGTTGCAAACGGGTAAGAAAATCTGACATTTCTTTCTTCTCTTTTGCTTAGTTGGAGCTACCCGTGCTGCTGTTGATGCAGGATATGTTCCTAATGAACTTCAGGTAACGTTGACTTTGAAGAATGTATTGACTTCTATGTGTGTATGCCTGC